TCTCGGGGTCACCTGTCTGCCCCTGTAAGTTGGATTCAAGTTGTTCAAACATCACTTTGTATGTCAACTGATGCAAATGGTCTGATCGAATCAGACTACAGATTATGATTGCATTGCACACAGACAGTGTCTCAGTGGCCTGTAGTGTTGGGAATTGGTTGTAATCTCACAATTGATGATTGCTTCATTACCATCGAAAAAAATTGGTTAGCGTCATTTTTCAGATTATCCTATCCAGGTTGTTATTGTAGATATGTATAACATAATGCAACTTGCTACTTTAAAGTGATGAGTAATATATCATGAACATAAACTTTCTGGAGTCTTCAAGAAATATTCAGTCATGAATTTTCAGTTAGTGAAGCCAGTTTTCTAAGAATTAAACAAGTTTTCAGGCCCTGACAACTTCGAAGATAAGTTCCATCGTCAAGTGTTTCAAACACTAAAACAGTAGTTACAAAATCGTTTGTGTTCGATTATGAGAAAATGTGATCGATTGCTTGGTCGTTTGGTCTTCGATCTTCTATTATTCCTAGTGGCATGCATAATCATAGTGTCTAGACCTCGAAGTTGTTGGCTAATATTCAGAGGTTGGATTTTAACTAAGTTATAACAACACCAATCGACCTCGTCTTGGATATGTGTGGTACATAAAATTTGATTTTACAAAAGTAAACGTACATTTAAATTCTTGGTTTTTACAGATGAAAAAATGTTTTAGTTTCTGAGCTAAACTGATTTTTAGTGTGCAGCAACACTCATTGATGACAACTACTAGCACCAACAACGGTCACTGTGGGCATGAAGAGTGTCATGAGTGCAGCAACATTCAGTGATGACAACTACTAGCACCAACAACGGTCACTGTGGGCATGAGGAGCGTCATGAGTGCAGCAACATTCAGTGATGACAACTACTAGCACCAACAACGGTCACTGTGGGCATGAGGAGCGTCATGAGTGCAGCAACATTCAGTGATGACAACTTCTAGCACCAACAACGGTCACTGTGGGCATGTGGAGTGTCATGAGTGCAGCAACATTCATTGATGACAACTACAAGCACCAACAACGGTCACTGTGGGCATGAGGAGTGTCATGAGTGCAGCAACATTCAGTGATGACAACTACAAGCACCAACAACGGTCACTGTGGGCATGAGGAGCGTCATGAGTGCAGCAACATTCAGTGATGACAACTACTAGCACCAACAACGGTCACTGTGGGCATGAGGAGCGTCATGAGTGCAGCAACATTCAGTGATGACAACTACAAGCACCAACAACGGTCACTGTGGGCATGAGGAGCGTCATGAGTGCAGCAACATTCAGTGATGACAACTTCTAGCACCAACAACGGTCACTGTGGGCATGAGGAGCGTCATGAGTGCAGCAACATTCAGTGATGACAACTTCTAGCACCAACAACGGTCACTGTGGGCATGAGGCGTCATGAGTGCAGCAACATTCAGTGATGACAACTTCTAGCACCAACAACGGTCACTGTGGGCATGAGAGAGCGTCATGAGTGCAGCAACATTCAGTGATGACAACTACTAGCACCAACAACGGTCACTGTGGGCATGAAGAGCAACATTCATTCATGAGTGCAGCAACATTCAGTGATGACAACTTCTAGCACCAACAACGGTCACTGTGGGCATGAGGAGCGTCATGAGTGCAGCAACATTCAGTGATGACAACTACAAGCACCAACAACGGTCACTGTGGGCATGAGGAGCGTCATGAGTGCAGCAACATTCAGTGATGACAACTACAAGCACCAACAACGGTCACTGTGGGCATGAAGAGATGTGTCATGAGTGCAGCAACATTCAGTGATGACAACTTCAAGCACCAACAACGGTCACTGTGGGCATGAAGAGTGTCATGAGTGCAGCAACATTCAGTGATGACAACTTCTAGCACCAACAACGGTCACTGTGGGCATGAGGAGCGTCATGAGTATTAACTCTGCGTTTACAATCATGTAGCTGACAATATGACTGGTTGTTAGAAGAACACTGTCTGTCTTAAATATCGGTTTATGATTTCAGTAACATTGTATCAACACAGCACAGTAGGCGACACCAGATATAGGCTTGTACCATTGTGGGGAACAGAACTTCATGTCCACTCACTCACCCACCCACCCACTCACTCACTCACTCACCCACCCACCCAACCGTGGTGTAGTGGTTAGAGCGTCCGCCCGGAGAGCGGAAGGTCGCGGGTTCGATTCCGAGCCGCGTCATACCAAAAGACGTTAAAATATGGCACTTGTTGGTCCCTGCCTGGCGCTCGGCATTAATGGGTTCAACAAGGACTGGTCGGCTCGGGGTCAGTATAATGTGTCTGAGTGGGGTATTCATGCTTCACTGCGGCATGGTATCTCAGTGGGCTAGCACTATAAAACCAGCTTAAGTCTGGGCTAGTACAAGCAGCCGCACATACACATACACATACACATACACATACACATACACACATGCACGTCATCATATGAGCGAAATATTCTCAAGTACGACGTTAAACTCAATTTCACCTCACCTCAACCCACCCACTCACTCACTCACTCACACTACAAAAATAAGTTGGTTTCCGGAACACTGAAACTGAGAGGAAACGACATGGAAACCACCATTTCCAGTTGGTTTCCATGTAGTTTCCTATAGTTTCATTGTGGTTTCCATGAAAACTGAAACTGAATTTTGCACCATTTCCGGATGGTTTCCAGTGCGATTCATTACCCACTCCTCCAAGCCAGATCCAGCTGGTTTCCGTGTTTTCGTTTATTGTAGGTTTCAACCTGGTTTCCGTGTTTTCGTTTATTGTAGGTTTCAATCTGGTTTCCGTGTTTTCGTTTATTGTAGGTTTCAACCTGGTTTCCATGTTTTCGTTTATTGTAGGTTTCAACCTGGTTTCCATGTTTTCGTTTATTGTAGGTTTCAACCTGGTTTCCATGTTTCCGTTTATTGTAGGTTTCAACCTGGTTTCCATGTTTTAGTTAGTTGTAGGTTTCAACCTGGTTTCCATGTTTTAGTTTGTTAGGTTTTCCATGTTTTAGTTTGTTGTAGGTTTCAACCTGGTTTCCATGTTTTAGTTTGTTGTAGGTTTCAACCTGGTTTCCATGTTTTAGTTTGTTGTAGGTTTCAACCTGGTTTCCATGTTTTAGTTTGTTGTAGGTTTCAACCTGGTTTCCATGTTTTAGTTAGTTGTAGGTTTCAACCTGGTTTCCATGTTTTAGTTTGTTGTAGGTTTCAACCTGGTTTCCATGTTTTAGTTTGTTGTAGGTTTCAACCTGGTTTCCATGTTTTAGTTTGTTGTAGGTTTCAACCTGGTTTCCATGTTTTAGTTTGTTGTAAGTTTCAACCTAGTTTCCAAGTTATAACCTAGTTTCCATTAAAACTGAAACTACATTTTGCACCAGTATCTGGATAGTATCCATGTCGGGACTTTGCCCACTCGTTCATGGAGGCTCCTGCTGGTGCTTAGTTTATTGTTGTTTCCAACCTAGCTCCCAGCTTATAACCTGGTTTCCATGAAACTGAATCTGTTGTGCTGGCCCCTTACCCGCTCCTCCAGAAAAGAGGTTGTGTTTCATGCAACACACATACCAAATCAGGTATTTTATACAATTGCACAATGGTAAAACCGTCAGGATGACAAATAACAGAATAAAACACAAAGTCATGATAGCTTTATTTACATTCAACAATTTGCTGATAAACAACTGATATTTGGAATGTTCACATTAATAAAACTGAATTTTCAAAATGCATAAATAATTAAAAGCAATAAGGGAATAAATAGCAGTGAGTATGGGATGTTTTCTTAAACTCATCAATGTAGATGAATCCATATTATTTGGTTTTCCAATTTGAGAAATGTTAAAGGTCACATGCAACCAAAAAATCGAACATAATTAAAACACAATTATCACTTCTTCATGACATATAATATGCATTGCTGATTATGAAAAAACAAATAAACAAAATTATAAGCATATAATCGCAAATCAAAAGTGCAATATTTTGTACTTGGGTTTACCTCCCTCGAAACGAAGCAGCCGGGATACCGAACCCAGTCAGAGCGGGTGGGTGTGCACTCAAGTGTAACGGCTGGTTCATTAGCAGATGCCTCCTTCACGGCTCATTGTGTGTGTATACATAGAGATGTTGGGTTTTGTAAATACATGCTCATTTTTTGTGTATAACATTTAGCAATCAACAGACATCATAACATGTCATGTGTTCAAGTATCACACCTGCCTGTCTGTGTAATTACATAATGTGACAGAGACCGAACTTGGGCCATAAATCAATGCGTTTTGTTTATGGTGTATAGCCTAATTGGTGTTAAGTTCAAATTGCATGTGGTCAGTGATCGCAGTTGTGTATTGAATATTGTCATTAGCAGACAGGCAGGCAGACACACAGGTGTCAATAAAACAAGACATTGAGTTTTGTCTGTGACAGCGACATATCTATATCACAGTTAGAAATTGTGTCAACGCTAAATAATGACATTGCTTTTAAGTATCGAATTGAGAAAGTGACTCAGTAAGAAGAACCTGTGGTGAAATAGACAAATAAAATTATATAAACAGTTTATTTACTGTCATAACATATAAAAAGCTCGCGCCTGTGAGATATCAACAAAACATTATGAAAATAGCTCACACCAAAGCCTTCACCGAGTATTCACCAGACAGCCCGCTTCCAAGTTGCGCGAACCTATTTCACTGCGCACGTGCTATGAGCGCAGCCCAGCTGTTGAAACCCGTATTCCCCAGAAAAGTCTGGGGAAAATTAGTGAAACGTTTGAACTCCGATTTCGACGCGGTTTTTTTCATCGCGTTATTTTTCAACTTTATAAGTTGAATTAGCATTTTTGATGCTTTGTTTCGGTAAGTCCATACCGAAAGGTATCAGAATCTGCAAAGTTGTGTTTTACGTTGCATGTGACCTTTAACTCTTTCCCCAAAAGAGGAATAACTTTCGTTTCTTCTCCGGCCAGTCCATCGTTGTCAGGACCTTCCTCCTGCTTTCCAGCTTCTGAACAACGGTCACTGTGGGCATGAAGAGCGTCATGAGAGCAGCAACATTCATTGATGACAACTACAAGCACCAACAACGGTCACTGTGGGCATGAAGAGCGTCATGAGAGCAGCAACATTCATTGATGACAACTACAAGCACCAACAACGGTCACTGTGGGCATGAAGAGCGTCATGAGTGCAGCAACATTCAGTGATGACAACTACAAGCACCAACAACGGTCACTGTGGGCATGAAGAGCGTCATGAGAGCAGCAACATTCATTGATGACAACTACAAGCACCAACAACGGTCACTGTGGGCATGAAGAGCGTCATGAGTGCAGCAACATTCAGTGATGACAACTTCTAGCACCAACAACGGTCACTGTGGGCATGAAGAGCGTCATGAGAGCAGCAACATTCATTGATGACAACTACAAGCACCAACAACGGTCACTGTGGGCATGAAGAGTGTCATGAGTGCAGCAACATTCAGTGATGACAACTTCTAGCACCAACAACGGTCACTGTGGGCATGAAGAGTGTCATGAGTGCAGCAACATTCAGTGATGACAACTTCTAGCACCAACAACGGTCACTGTGGGCATGAAGAGCGTCATGAGTATTAACTCTGCGTTTACAATCATGTAGCTGACAATATGACTGGTTGTTAGAAGAACACTGTCTGTCTTAAATATCGGTTTATGATTTCAGTAACATTGTATCAACACAGCACAGTAGGCGACACCAGATATAGGCTTGTACCATTGTGGGGAACAGAACTTCATGTCCACTCACTCAACCACCCACCCACTCACTCACTCACTCACTCACCCACCCACCCACCCGTGGTGTAATGGTTAGAGCGTCCGCCCGGAGAGCGGAAGGTCGCGGGTTCGATGCCCGGCCGCGTCATACCAAAAGACGTTAAAATATGGTACTTGTTGGTCCCTGCCTGGCGCTCGGCATTAATGGGTTCAACAAGGACTGGTCGGCTCGGGGTCAGTATAATGTGTCTGAGTGGGGTATTCATGCTTCACTGCGGCATGGTATCTCAGTGGGCTAGCACTATAAAACCAGCTTAAGTCTGGGCTAGTACAAGCAGCTGCACATACACATACACACATGCACGTCGTCATATGAGAGAAATATTCTCAAGTACGACGTTTAACTCAATTTCACCTCACCTCAACCCACCCACTCACTCACTCACTCACTCACACTACAAAAATAAGTTGGTTTCCGGAACACTGAAACTGAGAGGAAACGACATGGAAACCACCATTTCCAGTTGGTTTCCATGTAGTTTCCTATAGTTTCATTGTGGTTTCCATGAAAACTGAAACTGAATTTTGCACCATTTCCGGATGGTTTCCAGTGCGATTCATTACCCACTCCTCCAAGCCAGATCCAGCTGGTTTCCGTGTTTTCGTTTATTGTAGGTTTCAACCTGGTTTCCGTGTTTTCGTTTATTGTAGGTTTCAATCTGGTTTCCGTGTTTTCGTTTATTGTAGGTTTCAACCTGGTTTCCGTGTGTTTTTGTAGGTTTCGCTTTATTGTAGGTTTCAACCTGGTTTCCATGTTTCCGTTTATTGTAGGTTTCAACCTGGTTTCCATGTTTCCGTTTATTGTAGGTTTCAACCTGGTTTCCATGTTTTCGTTTAGTTGTAGGTTTCAACCTGGTTTCCATGTTTTAGTTAGTTGTAGGTTTCAACCTGGTTTCCATGTTTTAGTTAGTTGTAGGTTTCAACCTGGTTTCCATGTTTTAGTTTGTTGTAGGTTTCAACCTGGTTTCCATGTTTTAGTTTGTTGTAAGTTTCAACCTAGTTTCCAAGTTATAACCTAGTTTCCATTAAAACTGAAACTACATTTTGCACCAGTATCTGGATAGTATCCATGTCGGGACTTTGCCCACTCGTTCATGGAGGCTCCTGCTGGTGCTTAGTTTATTGTTGTTTCCAACCTAGCTCCCAGCTTATAACCTGGTTTCCATGAAACTGAATCTGTTGTGCTGGCCCCTTACCCGCTCCTCCAGAAAAGAGGTTGTGTTTCATGCAACACACATACCAAATCAGGTATTTTATACAATTGCACAATGGTAAAACCGTCAGGATGACAAATAACAGAATAAAACACAAAGTCATGATAGCTTTATTTACATTCAACAATTTGCTGATAAACAACTGATATTTGGAATGTTCACATTAATAAAAACTGAATTTTCAAAATGCATAAATAATTAAAAGCAATAAGGGAATAAATAGCAGTGAGTATGGGATGTTTTCTTAAACTCATCAATGTAGATGAATCCATATTATTTGGTTTTCCAATTTGAGAAATGTTAAAGGTCACATGCAACCAAAAAATCGAACATAATTAAAACACAATTATCACTTCTTCATGACATATAATATGCATTGCTGATTATGAAAAAACAAATAAACAAAATTATAAGCATATAATCGCAAATCAAAAGTGCAATATTTTGTACTTGGGTTTACCTCCTCAAACGAAGCAGCCGGGATACCAACCCAGTCAGAGCGGTGGGTGTGCACTCAAGTGTAACGGCTGGTTCATTAGCAGATGCCTCCTTCACGCTCATTGTGTGTGTATACATAGAGATGTTGGGTTTTGTAAATACATGCTCATTTTTTGTGTATAACATTTAGCAATCAACAGACATCATAACATGTCATGTGTTCAAGTATCACACCTGCCTGTCTGTGTAATTACATAATGTGACAGAGACCAAACTTGGGCCATAAATCAATGCGTTTTGTTTATGGTGTATAGCCTAATTGGTGTTAAGTTCAAATTGCATGTGGTCAGTGATCGCAGTTGTGTATTGAATATTGTCATTAGCAGACAGGCAGGCAGACACACAGGTGTCAATAAAACAAGACATTGAGTTTTGTCTGTGACAGCGACATATCTATATCACAGTTAGAAATTGTGTCAACGCTAAATAATGACATTGCTTTTAAGTATCGAATTGAGAAAGTGACTCAGTAAGAAGAACCTGTGGTGAAATAGACAAATAAAATTATATAAACAGTTTATTTACTGTCATAACATATAAAAGCTCAAGCCTGTGAGATATCAACAAAACATTATGAAAATAGCTCACACCAAAGCCTTCACCGAAAGTATTCACCAGACAGCCCGCCTTCCAAGTTGCGCTGAACCTATTTCACTGGCAAGCGACGCTATGAGCGCAGCCCAGCTGTTGAAACCCGTATTCCCCAGAAAAGTCTGGGGAAAATTAGTGAAACGTTTGAACTCCGATTTCGCGCGGTTTTTTTCATCGTGTTATTTTTCAACTTTATAAGTTGAATTAGCATTTTTGACGCTTTGTTTCGGTAAGTCCATACCGAAAGGTATCAGAATCTGCAAAGTTGTGTTTTACGTTGCATGTGACCTTTAACTCTTTCCCCAAAAGAGGAATAACTTTCGTTTCTTCTCCGGCCAGTCAATCGTTGTCAGGACCTTCCTCCTGCTTTCCAGCTTCTGAAAGTTAGAAAACAATAAACAATCAGTACAAACAAGCATTCATCAACAATATCGCTAGCTGGAGAAAGGAAAACTGTCCAATGTTCCTTAAGCTTGAGGAAAAATAAACTGTAACCACTGTCCAATAAGCACGAAGTTCAATAAATCAAAACTGATCATTTGACCTGAAAAGTGACAAAAGTTTCAATCGCAGAAGAACTTAATGAAATTTGTATGAGTAGAGAGACAAGTGAGAGAAGGACGTATTTCCTTAGCTTGGGTTGGTCATTTGATGACTGACAAAAAAAAATTTCTGTCACTAAATAACAGTTGTGACTTATAGAAAACATTGACATTGAATTAATAACATTTCTTAGGAATGCAGACTAAATTCATGCTATAAATTCATTGCCTATATTTCCGAGGAATTCTCATGTGAAAGCTATAACTTATTTTCTGAATGTTACATGCATTATGCTGTGATATTATATGTATAGAACTACGAATTATCCATTATTCTGAAAATAATGTGAAAAGAAATATTTGGGTTTTAAAAAAAAATAATGTGGGGTCATTCTGGCAGACAAGAAATTGAATGGGGTCATAGGCGGACCTCCATAACTAATATCTCATACTGCTATTGACAATGTGTTTGCAGCTACTATTTAGTGGGGTATTGTTAATAAATTGTTAATTGATGTGTGCAAGGTGAAATATGTCCAGACCAAAACATAATGTACATTGGCGCTTTACTATGTACTATTTAAAACTTTTTTAGCTGCATACTTCTAATTATACATTGCACGTATTAAACAGTGTTTATTTTGAAAGTTCTTTGGAATATCAGTGTACATTTACAAGAAATTACATTAACTTGATTTTGTTTCAAATAAGGTTTTCCTTAAATTTTAACCTGTGTAAGATTAGAATTGAGAACGGTTAGAATTTACTTACACATCTGAATCTTTTGTTGTTCTTTGCGGACAAAGGCCTCTGCATTCCCACTTCTTTATCTTCCAGGTGAACGAACCCTCTTGTTCGTCCAAAACCGCCAAACTGCTTCTGAAAGGAGATGTGTAAAAGTGGAAAATATTTCCAGTTGGAAGTTACGAAAATAGTGGTTGTGTAATTTTTATGTATTTTTCTGATTCATAGGATTTACATTATTTAGGATAATTTTATGTACATCATTTACTGAAGGGTTTGGATTACACATACCTGTTGCAGGTCAAGATCAGTTAGTCATCTTCAGTTTTTCCAACACTGCCCCAATGGAATGCTGGAAATATAGAAATTAAGGGGAAAATCAGGAACTTTCTAAGTGATATTGTACTCTTGATAACAATAAGGCATGAAAATAGAAGAATAAATATCAATTTGCAAGGTGTAGATATGCTAATATCAAAAGAAGCAAAATGAACAAGTTCATATAATTTTAGGTTGACAATGTACATCAATGTATCCCCAACATATCCTATTAAACGTTCTATATATCCAACTTTCTTTGCAAACTTCTTTTGTGGATGTAACAAAATCCACATCTCTTCATTCAGAGTTAAATATCTTGACATTCTAAGTGTAAAATTGTTTACATCAGATGATTAACTTAAATTACCTCATACATCAGTAATCTATCCTATACTGACTTGAAAACCTTTTAAAAAACAGTTTCCAAAAATATTGTGTTGACAATTTATCCACTCAACAGCATTATAGCATCATGATAAATATCGTCTTAAAAGTTGGCTGGAAAATATTGTCGATTCTTTTGTCATAGGCTGTCTTGTAATTTTAATAACTAGACAAAGAATTTTGAAACTTCACTCTAACCATGCACCAAATCAGCATGATAATTCCTATAAATGCAAAATGACTCACTATCCCCCACTGAATTGTTTTCAGTGGTACAAATATCAGAAGCAATTTTCAATAACAAACTTTGAAATAGAACTTCCAATCATTGGATTTCTTGCAATAATATTCGAATACTTCTAAATACGTTTGGAAGTTATCTTGAGTCGTGACATTGCTGGATATATTTGTGGTTCATATTGTTCTTGCAAAGACAATATTTCATACATTACAATAATGAACCATTTAGTCGTATGTGACCTGATCCAAATCACAATCGAGTTCTTGAGTTGACTAAGTAAAGGAAGCCATATCTCTTGCCAACATTTCGACATGCAATTGCTTATCGAGTTCCATCAAGTCTATAACTTTAATTTCATATATGTACATTAAACTTTACACATAACATGAGCTATTGATTAATTCAAGAAATTTACACTGTACCTGACATGGTCGTGGAATGTTCACTTTCTCCCTCCGCGATCGACGACTGCTCCCGTTTTCAAGTTTTCACGTACTCGAGCCTCCAAAGCTTCTAGTGTAACTCGCATTGCCATTTTCTTGATTCAGATAACATGGACAAGCGAAGGAATAATTCATTGTGCTGGGTTCCTTGTTGTGTTAAAAACGGGAGACACTTCTGCCCACTTTAAAAACATCTTCTCATGAGTTCAAGTGACAAAATGGCGGCAATTGTGTGTAGGGGCATTGTGGGTAATAACAAATACCTAATCCCTTTTCGATTGGCAGGTATGAAAACATTATCTGACCCAATTTGGTTGTGATTTCAAGACATAAAAGACGAAAATGGCCACTTCAGTACATAAAAACATTGCTTTTATAAAATGTCACGAGTTCGCGCGTGCCCACGGATTACCGACTCATTACTTCTACAGCAATTCAATTTTGATAATAGGTGCACATTAAGACGAGACAACCCCAAGGAAGCCGACACACAGACCCGGACATACAAATGACATGACACTGATTGTTTGTCAAGTACTTGAACTCACTGTCAAAGCTTATACTAACTTTAAATGCTTTTAATGGTAAACATTACCCACAACCTCAATTCATAGTACAATTCCCTGATATTCTAGTTATTGAGAGATCCGTAATGTATGTACAGGATTGACAATTGTTTGAATTACATTATACTAAACTTCCTAAATGCTTATACTCTTTCACATTGTAAGCAAAAATAATTAAACCGAGTTTTCCCTCAAATTTCACTTTTTGACGTTTAAGCTTTTTCATTACTACAGTGAAAATTGTTACTCATCGTAGAATATCATCCATCTATTTAGATTTTCAAAATTCCCCATGATATGAAATGACGATAAATAATTGGTATTTAATTATTGAGAGATCCGTAATGTATGTACCGGATTGACAATTGTTTGAATTACATTATACTAAACTTCCTAAATGCTTATACTCTTTCACATTCTAAAGCAAAAATAATTAAACCGAGTTTTCCCTCAAATTTCACTTTTTGACGTTTAAGCTTTTTCATTACTACAGTGAAAATTGTTCACAATTGTACGCAATTACTGATAATGTAATATGATATGAAAGTAGTTAATTAATCTTCGAAACTAAGTTTCAGGAATGGAAACCAACAGTATACACATGACCATAGTTTCTTGTTGGTTTCCATTACCGGAACTATAAGTTTACAGTATCCATTATGGATTCTATTAGGAAACTAGGTTACCCAGTTTCAATGAATGGATACCAACTGGATGCCAGGATGGTCAATTTCATGCCAAATACTTGCAAATTTTAAGTTACTCAGTTCAAAACAGTGCACAGGAAACCAACATAAAACTACATTTTCTGGTTTTATGTTGGTTTCCATTTCATGAAACCTTCAATTGCAAATTCCAGGAATGGAAACCAACAAGAAACCTATAACCTTAGTTTCTTGTTGGTTTCCATTTACTGAAATGCAAAAATCAAAGAATCCAAAATGGAATCTAGTTGGAAACTCAGTTACTCAGTTTCAGTGAATGGAAACCAACTGGATTCCCATTTACCCAGTATAAGGATGGTTTCCAGATTTTAGGAAACCAAGTCATTTTTGTAGTGTCATCCACTCACCCACACAGTCACTCACTGAAGAGCCAAGTATTACCAGCGTAAAATTAATTTTAACATTTACATTATATTGAAGGTTGCAAATTGTTCAGTGTGCTTTGCAAAAAAACAACCATTCCATTGAATCAAGTTGACAGATCCTTCAGAAATACACTGCAAAAAAAAGTATCATCATTGTTATTTTGTGTGATTTAGTCTATTTCTGTGTCAGAAAAAAGTCTGTTTGGAGTGAGGGAAAAAACTAAGTGAATATATATTTAATCACATGCCTGTAGTTCAAGAACTTAATTGCACCTTAGCCTGAAGGTCCAAGCTGTCAGTCATCTAACCACATCCTTCTCAACTGACATGTAATTAGTCGCACTCTCACAATTGTCAATGTTTTCATGAAAAAATCTATATAATACTTCCCATAAAACTGTCACTATGTCAGAATTATTTTCTCAATAATTGGCAATTTTCTTGAAATCTGGTGGCCTTCTTCTACTGATGTTTTGCCCATAGACTTGTGTCTCTGTTTACATGGGATGTTCCAGTAGTTGAAGTCCGTGTGAAAGGCTTGAATGTGTCTGGCACGGTGTAAACCCGTCAGGAGGTGGTGGTCATTAGTGACCAGTGCTCCCTTGTCAGGAGTGGGCCCATGGCCAGCACCACATAATGATGATGGGCTGTAGGCAGGGGGCAGATCGGACAAGCTGCTCAACTTCAGAGAGCCATACAGCAATCAACAGCCATCGTGATGTTACCTCCAGGAGTTGTTACTGCCCTTGTCTGTTGTTACGCAATTAAATTAACCTTGCCAAATGACTGTCCTCAGCATCTTTCAGTGACCTTACATCTGTATCTTAACATTTCCTGGCCAGTGATGGTTTTGTTTGTGTGTTTGTTGTTGAACCCCTACTCAGCAATATTCCAGTGATATGGGGTGCTCGCACGTCTCTTATAACAGGTCAACAGGTTAGCTTTACGTCGCATTCAGCAATATTCCAGTGATATGGGGTGCTCGCACGTCTCTTATAACAGGTCAACAGGTTAGCTTTACGTCGCATTCAGTAATATTCCAGTGATATGGGGTGCTCGCACGTTCTCTTATAACAGGTCAACAGGTTAGCTTTACGTCGCATTCAGCAATATTCCAGTGATATGGGGTGCTCGCACGTTCTCTTATAACAGGTCAACAGGTTAGCTTTACGTCGCATTCAGTAATATTCCAGTGATATGGGGTGCTCGTGACGCTCTCTTATAACAGGTCAACAGGTTAGCTTTACGTCGCATTCAGCAATATTCCAGTGATATGGGGTGCTCGCACGTTCTCTTATAACAGGTCAACAGGTTAGCTTTACGTCGCATTCAGTAATATTCCAGTGATATGGGGTGCTCGCACGTTCTCTTATAACAGGTCAACAGGTTAGCTTTACGTCGCATTCAGTAATATTCCAGTGATATGGGGTGCTCAGACGCTCTCTTATAACAGGTCAACAGGTTAGCTTTACGCGCATTCAGTAATATTCCAGTGATATGGGGTGCTCGTGACGCGTCTCTTATAACAGGTCAACAGGTTAGCTTTACGCCGCATTCAGTAATATTCCAGTGATATGGGGTGCTCGCGACGCTCTCTTATAACAGGTCAACAGGTTAGCTTTATCGCGCATTCAGCAATATTCCAGTGATATGGGGTGCTCGCACGTCTCTTATAACAGGTCAACAGGTTAGCTTTACGTCGCATTCAGTAATATTCCAGTGATATGGGGTGCTCGCACGTCTCTTATAACAGGTCAACAGGTTAGCTTTACGTCGCATTCAGCAATATTCCAGTGATATGGGGTGCTCGCGACGCTCTTTATAACAGGTCAACAGGTTAGCTTTACGTCAGATTCAGTAATATTCCAGTGATATGGGGTGCTCGCGACGCTCTCTTATAACAGGTCAACAGGTTAGCTTTTACGCGCATTCAGTAATATTCCAGTGATATGGGGTGCTCGCATCGCTCTCTTATAACAGGTCAACAGGTTAGCTTTACGCCGCATTCAGCAATATTCCAGTGAT